TTTCCACCCTTCCTATCAAACGGACCCAAAATGTAAAAAGCAATCCTTACAAATTGCTGTTTTTCCCTAAGTGCAAGATTATCGAGCAAAAACCCAACTTCTGCCTCACTCTCAGTCTGCATATAAATGAAAATTTAGTCATGCAAGCATTGCAAAGATAATTAGTAAATTGAGAAGGATTAGAATTGCTAATAACATGGACCCAGAAAACTTCTATCCTTTACAAAATATACCATAGTGTTTGCCCCTTCATCCCATATCAAACCATCTTGTGAAATGCTTCGTAACTTTCCTCCAGATCTCCCATCAGCTTCAAATACTTTGACATTTAAGCCATGCAATTTCAGCTTGTAAGCTGCAGCAAGCCCACTACACAAAAAGAAAGGCAAAAAATAGATGAGGATCGGGATGGGGATGGGAAATGAAAATAAATAAATTTACATGACTTTTGAAGGCAAAAAGAGGTTAAAAAAAAACCAAAAGACGATGGATTCAGTTCAGATGTCCAAATCTGAAATTATAGATAGCAAGGAACCATACAAAACCAGTTCACACACTTGTGAGATTGACATCCAGATATGTATCAGAAATAAGCAAACATATACATATCCATTAATAGTTTTCACTTTTCAGAATTTCAGATAGTGTAGAAATGTGACTTTTTACCAATTCAGATTCAGGGAAGACACTGAAAAAATTGCGAATATTTAATGATCAAGTCATATTAACGCGATTTAAAAAAAAAACACATAAGCTTCTCAATAAAAGTTGCATCTTTCTTACTCCGTGTACCTCGATATTTAGGATCAGTAATCCGACCCCACCTCAAAAAAGGATAAAATTTCATATCATACTCAATGCACTTGAATTATAATTTTTTTGAATTATAATTTTTTTTATATCCAAGCATAGAAATAAATATTTGCTCCATCCCAGAGACTTCCAATTTGCCACTAAAATATATTTCTTTAAGAGCAGCTAATTAAACATAAATTTACCAAGTACTCAACAATAATGAAAGATTAAAACTCCAAAAAAAAAAAAACAATTACCAAGTCAATAAAGTACAAATTTAACAATTTTTATCCTTTTTTCCAGAATCTATGATGTGCTTGTATGTCTATGTATTTTCATTTTCCATGTCCAGGGATACACATTTCATATTTCGTTTTTCTATTTTAATAAATAACTGGTCCTAACATATGAATGTTGAATTTTGAGAATTAACATATGACTACATATGCGTTGCATATGGAATATGCTTTCTACCTCAGTTGTTATGACGATCCAAGGAAATAGAATGAGACCAAGCATCACCGCAATACAAAGAGAAAGAAAGCCCAAAAGAAAAGTGTAAGCAAATGGACCAAGAGAAAAGTTAATAGAGGACCTGGGGGATGTGGAAGTAGAGTGTAGGGGCCCTTTCAGTGTAATGGAAAAAAAATGTAACCCAAATGTTTAGAGTGTACTATTTCTCCAAAGATACTTTTGGTCCTTAATCAGTTAATTGGGACAGTCTAAACGGTCCTTCTAAAAGCCTTGTTCACGACATCAATGTGCTCAATCCATACTTAGCAAACTTGACAATGCAGAGGAAATAAGGGTCAGCTTGGACGTGTGAGCAGAAATGGCTACATGGATGATTCGTGCCCTTTGCTCTATCTGTCAGTCCATTATTTTCCCTATTCATTTTCTTTCTCCCAAAGGGCGCTAGTCCAACTCGAGACCTAACCTCTATCAACTCACACCCCCAAGCATGGGTGGTACACGGGGTTAATCAATTTTAAAGACAATTATGTTGTCTGCCCAATTAAATGTTCAAAAAATCCATCCTTGGCCTTAGCAAGGCCATACTGCTTGGTCATCGTGCTCCCCAGAGTTCAAGAACAAGTGTTAATGAGATCGACAGGGATCATGGAAATTGACGAAGATCACAAAAATTATGACTTATCATAATTATGTATATAATTGTATTTAGCATAATTAGGTAGATTACATCTACCATATTATGTCCGATACCATAGTTATATAAGGTTTGTCAACAAGGACGTGTCCCAAGTTGATAATTGAAGTTTACTCCTCCAGTCCCCCTCATCCTGGTCTTGATTATGGTTTCACAATTGAATATACCCTATGTTCACAAATTACCCTTGAACCTTGGGTAGAACCATTAGCATTAAGGTCAATCAACTCTATCAAACTTAAATGACTAAACAATTTCAGGAGCACATTCCCATACCTAACACCAGCACCAATCACAGCAACACTTTTAGCAGAAGAACCTGAAAAAAGAATCCCGATAGTTAATCTCTGAAGCAATTTTAAAGGTTATTCTAAATTCTAACTTTATAAATGGAAAGTCACAAAGACATTTTGTCAATGGTTAGTAAGCAACAGTACCTTGCTTATCTTCTTTTGTTGCTGAAGCCATAGCCAGTTTTACAGTCCACTGACGAGAGCTTTTTCCGCCAAAGTGTTGTCGAGGGGATATTAAAGCTGAGCGATTTATCCAGTCATGTCGAACATTCATCGAATTGCGAATTTTATCGCTAATTCAGTAATTTGTTCAGAAGCCGATGTCCCTACGCGTAGTTGACGACAAATTTTTTTTAACATTATCACCTATTTTTGACATTTCTGATACCTTTGGAGAAGAAAGAGTTTGCCTATCGTAGCCCAGCCCACAAAAATACCCACCTTAGAATTGGTCCAGACCAACCTTTTCTGGACCTAACGCTCCAACCTGAGATGGACTTCCTATACCTGAATTTTAGGATAATTGCACCCACTTTCGAAATTTCAAATTTACTTGTAATTGATTTTTGTGGAAATTACATGGATCCCTACTTTTCAAGATTCAAATTCAAAAATCAAATTTTAAGTTTTAATATTCAAAAATCAGATATTTTATATATAGATACATGTGTTTTTATATTTAATTAAAATTTAATATTATTATTATAAAAATTAAATTACATACACCCCACCCCGCCATTAATCCCTAATTTCTCACCTCCTCTCTTTTTCTCTCTAATCTGTCGTCGCCCTCTCTCACTCTCTACATTTTCGCACCAGTCGCCGTCCTCTCTCCACCGCCGGCACCACCTAACTGATCTCTATTCTCACCTCTCACCTTCTCCCCATCGCGTAGCCTCACTTATCTCTCTCTACCCTCTCCACAAATGGGCCACCACCGGAGGCTGTAAATCGCCCCAGCAGCCAAATCGCCGAAAGCTCTGCAGAGCGTGACTGTAGCGACATAGATCGCGATGATGATGGCACAGATCGTGGCTGTAGTGATCTATGTGTTCCGCCAGCCTTTTTTCTGCTGCACCGATTTTTTATTTGAACTGAGGCCTTTGAGGGCCCTGTTGAGTCACTGAATAACACAGAACTACGCGAAGCAGAGATCACTAATTTATTAATCTGGCGAAGAGACGCTGAGATCTTGCTTTTTGTTGTTGTTGGAGTGGTGGTGACGACGTTGGTTTCCATGTTTTGGTGTTGGTTTT